TGCTTTATGATAAGGTCGTCACTCGTTGATCATAATATAGTGCAAGTCATGATTCAGGAACGTATTTCGTTTTTCCTTTACAGCAAATCCTACTGGCTAAATTGGCATAATTTACTGTTAGTGGAGGACACATAAATGAACAAATGTTAAAATATGGGAATACGTCAACTACATCTCAGTTTATGAACAGTGAATTCCTTCGTTTCGCTGTTGACTCAAAGACGCTGTTTCATTTTCCATTTCAATTAGACCTGTGAGCGGCTTTTCAGAAAGCCTCTAACAAGATGAACCTAGTCCGCACCAGCTAGTAGGGTTGCTGACCCTGACACAAACCGTAACAAAAAACACTGCGGATCTTCTTTAATCTGCCTATTTGTGGGAAAACAATAAAAATGCGATTGTTAGAAGGTGGGGTTGCCACAGGATAACTGGTTGTTTATGCTGCTGGCGGAAATATGCGCGCGTACACAAAGCAAACAGGTTGACCCACTTAAGATCACGCACGCCGCATCTTCTCCCATTGGCAACCGGCCACTTTGTGCGCGTGCGCGCATCCGCCTCGCCTCTTAGTCACGCCGCGAGGCTCGCACACCAGGGGCATCTTTAGTCTGGCCATTCCGAGGTGGGTGAGTTGGAGGTGCTCCTGCACGTGATGTACCCATGCTGGTGTTTACTTGTTTATATCCTCTAATTAGAAGACATTGGGCGTGTCATTCCTAGTGAAAGAGTACAATTTGCCTATTTAGAACGTCGCCATTTCCGTGAAAGTGACTATGTCCTCCCGACAAATGGCTTGCCGCTTAGCTCCCATGATGGAGCAACCCACCATCAACTAAGCAACCCGGTCACGCTACTATAGTTTCGAAGCAATTCGAGCGTCTTGGTGGAAAGTCATGCGTTCTGTGTCAGATGTTTTTGTCTCCTTTATGCGTGTGTGCAAAAACACCATTAATCAACTAATGTGGCACAACGGTCCTTAGTATTAACATTTTAAACACGTAAGTCCTGTTAAACCTGTCAGCTATTGTGCTCTGGCAATGGCCTTAATCCGTGTCTTACAAGACCACGGCAGCTAAGCTAACAATAGGAAGTTTGTGTGAATTGTGTCCCGTAGCAATTTCTTCTGGACTTTGTCGTTTTGGCCACCCGAGTGTAACATTTGTACTATCCTAGCTCTAATATTACCCATTTCCATAAAAATAGAACGAATAAAAGAGCTCGAGAAAGCACCGCAGCTAACTTTTACTGTGGTTTTAGTCTAGTTGGTGTTGTGGTATGGTTTTACCACACACTGAATGCTCGATTGAGAGAGTACGACGGAGGCAGACGCTGCTGTCTGCTGTTGAAGTCCCCAAAGGCAATCAGGATAAAAAAAAATTAGCAAATAATAGAAGTTTGTAAGTTGGTTCGAAATATTGCTTTTAACCGATTCGTGGGTTTAGTAATTGGTTGTTTTTTTGTGTGCCTTCTTGTTTTAGTATGCACGAATCGAAATCAGCAACTTTTTTTACGATCACAACATTGAAAGAGTCATTTGATATTGGTGAGGAAACGATGCTCTTTACGGGCACCAGGATCTACAGCCAATCACCGAAAGCCATTTTGGCAGGCTATTAAATCAGCTTAAGAGTAAGCCACCGATTGCTAGTTTATGGGACCGGCTGAAAAGGCTCACCGCGTTATCAGTTTGCCCTCTCAAACTAACTCTCATTTTGTGAGCCATAGAAAGCGGGACTAGTTTCGGATGTTCCCAAAATATCACACAGCCAGACCATCGGGGTGCTCTTAATTTATTTGTAGTTACCATGCTCCCCAAACAAATTGGTCATTGGAATACGGAATAAAGGTGGAGCGTCCATTCGCCCAAAGAGTTGATTTCTAGTCGCCCAGATAAAAACAGAATAAATCAGTTTTTACTTCCTGTACCATAAAACGGTAATGTCGAATCATATTGCCAGCCATCCACTTTATAATGAGGCCGAGCTCAAACTCTGCATCCTGTTAACGTTTTGTTAACCGCTCATCGAGAAATAATCCCATGATGACCAGCAGTTACGAACTTCAAAATATGTGCTAGTCGTTGTCTAATTCGTCAGTCTGGACGTGAAATATACCCACCCAACTTAGATCAGGTCGATGGAATGATTGACCATGTTGTGCCGCTGTCCAGTTTACAGCGTAGTCGTTTTTTGATGTTTTTGAGGCATTTTCTACTCCCCCATTCATTACTTCGTGGGGAGCATCTCCAGTCCCCTAGTTTAATTTCTTCATTCCCATTCCCGAGTGCACAATATTATGTCATGATTTTAACTTTGAAAAGCGAAAATATGAAGTTGTTGACTGGGAACGTCCATTAGTGTGTTCGAGGAAAGAAGAATTACATAAAATCTACTATTTCAAGATTTCGATAATAAAGCTTCTCTAGTTGCCTATCATTCTCGATAGGTTGATGGGAGAAGCGATTTAATCGAGCATATATGGACACTTGAAAATAGGACACACCCGCATTCCTGTCGTTTACACGTCGAAATCTTTGGGCAATGAGGGAAATTGCGTTTTCTTTGACCTGGGGAGTTGTTATGGTTCGGAAAGGGAACTTTACTTTTCCTAAGCAGAGGTCTTAAAAAGAACTCTGCGTTTTAAACTTAAAACACAACAAAGTGTTTTGGATTCGGGGAGTTAGTAATTCCAAACACCGAAAACTGTTTGATTATATTAGGGTTCGGGCTCCTAGGTGGTAATTGTGTGAACTCGACACCGAATTTCGGCATTGTATCCGATGTTACAACTGGGTGATTGGTTGTCCACTGAGTAGGAATTTTGATTAATGAATAGGAGCGTTGTCTAAAGGTGTAAATGTAACTAGACGGTATGTTAAATCATTCCTAGATTAAAATGACATGATTTTATGACATCGGCAATTCCGACACTGTTGAGTTTACCATTACACAGACTAAAGATCAATGAATAAGCATACTTGATGGGTATCCAAATCATAGAATTCTCCTAATGCTTTGACATACGCATCAGCCTCTTCGCACTGCTGCCTGTGTAATAAGTTCCAATGTTGGCTTCTTTCTAATGCCTGCCTGGTTTTGTCTAGCACCTCAGTACAAAGTCTAAGCTTCTTTTTTCGCCTTGTGCCCAAATGTGTGAGCTGAGCTACAGGCAGAAACCATTGGAAGTGTTTTCCCATTTAAATGACTCCATTTTGAGGCCATTTGGTTGCACTCTGCAATCCAAACGACCACTAATTGTGCAGCCACACTCCATCATTTCTCAGCTGTTAAAAAAGCAACATAAAAGGTGAAATTGGTGGATTTTATTATCAGAATGCCGCCAAAGAAGCCAAAAAGTTGGACCTTAATGAATGCTGGATTTCGCTGCACCATAATCCGTCCAATTTCGTTTAACCGTCACGAAAAGTTGTCGTGGACAGTTAAGTTAAGGACAATCTCTGATCCTGAAATGCACGAATGGGCCAAAGTGCGGGCAACTCCACATGTCTTGCCCAAGTAATCTAGACACTTATTGCAATGCCCACTTTAGCATACCTACTCAAAACACGACTGGAATTCTTGCTTTAAACTTCTTCAGAAGAAATTGCCTCGTACAATTTACCGACGTGTTCCAGTTTACCACGACGAGCTCGTTACAAAACTGAAATCTACTTTAAATATCTCGAAATCGGCACAGAATATGGTGTTGCGTGAAATAGGGATTTCAGAATTGGATCGCTTGCTCTCTTTTGATTTGTAATGTTTTTACAGCCCACAATAAGCGATAACATTAGTTTCTGCGATTGTTTTTCCCTTCCACTAAATAGATAATGAACAGAACCTGTGATACATTTTGCTAACGCCGTGAAACCACTTTCGGATATCTGACAGTATCCGTAAAATACCCAATGTTATCCTAAGGCCGTGTTTAGTAAACAAAGGTTTTTTTGTCTTTTGTCTATCACGTTTTTGTTCCAGTTTTACTCCGTCACATCTGCAACATGCGCTTCCAATGATGTTTAAAGTCTATTACTGGTGGTCTGTGCAACTAACGTTGAGTTTAACATGAGTGCATCGGTGGGATGTGCACAACGCTTTTTTCTATGCTGTTTTTGTTTTCGATGCTCAAAGTAGTCCTTAGCACCAATATTGCTCGTAGTGGATCAGATCACGCCATCACGTCGAGCGTAAAGTCTGCCTCTCTTACACTACTTGATGCCTTGACTATCCGTTAAATGAGGGCGTGGAAGCGTAAAACCAAGATGCATAGGACCTGGAGGAATCAGGCTAAAGCCAAATCGAAGTCAAATTTGATTTACCGTTCTGTGTGTCTTGTTTTATTGGGCACCGTCTAGAAAGCTAATTCACTATGTTTGTGTCATTTTAAATAATTTCACTTTTGATTATCTCTGAAAAATGAAAGAGAGTGAAATCGTTTTTCGATTATTATTTTACCATGATGTGCCTGCTAGATAAATAAGAATAATTAGTGTGATTTCTGTTTACCTTTTTGTGGTGGATAGCATTAAAACGTTGAATCCATTTGGGTTTAATGACATGAAAGGTTTTTTCGTGATCTAAAATTATGTGAATCTCCTGCAAAGTCCTTGTTCATTTCCTCAAGTTAAATCCATAAACAAATCCGTTTTCAAGCATTGGACCTTATTGGGAGTTACATTTTATGGCTCTGTCATAAATCAAATTATTTGGCCATCCATCAAGTTTCCTTGTGCATTTTTTAAAAGGTTTCGTAGTAAATAATGGCATATTATAATGTTATGAATCTATATGCTATTCAGGTAAATAATGGTTTTCGTTGTGAAGATTTTTGTCGATGAGTGCTTTGACGACATGAACATCTCGTCCTACAGATCAATATTCAATCCTCCACAACGGAACTGGCTTTCAGAGCACCACACAATCTCCAATTAGTAGCATTCACCATCGTTCCCTACAGATAATTATTTAGTTGAACTGGCCACGACTCTTGCCATAATTAAGTGCGTGTGGGTTCGCGTCACCTCGTGTTTGAACTTGACACGGCCTCGGGTGGACCCGGTGAAGTAATGAATCAGCACGTTAGAGCATCGTGGCTTTTGATGAAAGTTTTAATCGAGACTTGTCACTGCGTCTCGAGTTCGCTACCGGCGATAGCCGTCGTCTTCGCCATCGCCGTCGTCGTCGTCGTCGCGCAGTCATCGCTTCACGGCACGACTTATGGACACAACCGGCTACCGGTGTGTGTGTGTGTGTACACTTTCGCTTAAGCTTCGCACGCGCATGTGCGTAACCTAATTTCTGTCTACGCCTCTCCCTGCCGTTCTCTGAGCATGACTGTTCGGAATTGTGTTTACTTGTGTTTAGTCGCGTGCGAATGTTTTCAGGTGCCTTGGCGGTTAACCCTCATAATAAATACGTGGTGTTTCGGTTGTTTGTAGTCATTGAAAAGAACCTGACGACTGACTTTAAAATCAACATCGCCGGCTCCGTTAAGAGCCTTCTTGTGTGTGTTTCGTATTTATATTAATTTTTTAAGAATCTTAACCATGTCTGGGGCTATGTACACGGTGTACCTGCTGAGCAGTACCCAAGAGACCTTTGGGACAAATTCGAGACGTTTTGTCATATTCGATGAGCTGGGTGCAGACTTTTCTTACTCAGGTTGGTCCCCTTAACGAAGAACTTAGTCAAGGTTTTAATCGTAATTAGAACATGTTTCGCGGAATCCAAAATATGTGCTCCCGATCTTCCTCTAATGCGTTCCTGGTTCATAAGTGTTAGGAAATTGGAAAGACGTGGGCATAGAGTCGGCTAATTGTGGCTTTAGAAACGGGCCGCTTCATAGTAATTATAGAGAAACCGTTCAAACGCAATCTCTTTCTTAGCTTAGTCAATCACAACGACTACATTTTGAAGCTAGATACAGGGCAATGGCCATAGTGATGCCATAAGGTTTGTTTATTCATAGCTCTGTTGTATATATTATGGTTTTACTTTAAAACACCAAAATCGTGTAAGCATTTCGTCGCAAGAAAAGCGAGGTAAACTATGCCTTTTCCGGCATTTGCCTGTCAGTAAATGTGATTGTTAGACTAACTTCTGACCTTACGTGCACGATTTAGCCTAGGTAGTAAAACGAACACCGTATAACGCCTCACACTTGACTGAGCCACAACTAGATAACATGGATCAGTGCGCATGCACACCTGTGGCCCATACTTCTCACTACTACACTTCCTTTATGAATTTGGCCCGATCAAAATCGGTGTTATAGTGTTTGGTACTCGACTTCATATGTGGAGACGCTGCAGTAGCCCCATGCAGTTCGGAGGTTTCTAAGCGCATCCCACCTGGAGATCGGTCTTCTTTTCGTCAGCCCAGAGGGTGGCGACAACTCACCACTTAACCCTGAACCACGTTGAATAAGTCAAACACTATAAGACAATGTGTCTGAGCGATAAATTAAACTGTCACTTAAAAGCGCCATTCAACTCGGGTACTGCAACATTCTATGTTCCTGATTTAGGAGAAACCTACGAATCACAAAGTGATGCAGTCAACAGCGGGCGAAGCAGTACAACAGAAATCCCCCCTTACGAGCATTTGTCCTCCCAGACAAACAGTCCTGGTAAGTGCTGGTTTTTATTGCCACAAGCCACCTTCACTTAGATTTCGCCCGTTGACTTTGGGACTCTCCCATGCGATTATGTCTTGTGGTTTGTTTTCACATGAATTTTTCTCTTTGCACATTTGTACCACGAGTAGCCTACTAACAGGTACAAGCGCCTGCGTTAGTCGTAGGCCTGATAAGGTCGTACGTTCAATAATGAGCCTCCAACCCTGTGTTCTGGAACTGGTTGTTTATGTGAAAATTAAACGGGTGAATTGAAGTATCTTTCCATCCAAAGAAATCATTTCTGTGAGACCAACTTTCACCATACGAAGATAGAGGAATTTTAGTAATATGCTTCTGGTGCAACGCTGAAATCCGCCTTTCTAAATACTGATTGTAATTTTAAACATTGCCTTTTTATTCCTTAGAACACACTAGCAAATAAATATACGTGATGGGTCTAATGAGCTTATCAAGGCTATGTAGCAATCAGGGATTTTAGTGAAATGCTTCAGACCTTTTGGACTCCAGACACTTCTATTAAAGTAAACTTCCGTTTTTTCATAAAGCATTTCCGCTCACTGTATTGAGTGAATGAGTAGAATATATAATATGACAGTTCTAATGCACCAAATTCAACGTCATAGAGCCGTCGGTTCACAGTTATTGTCATTTATTTATCTTCTGCAACAATTTGAGCAAAGTTTTAGGCATTTGTAAAGCTTTGCACACTATAGCGTTTCTGCCTTAATATCTTTGAATCCGGCTGGAAGTGGCTGTCAAGCCACCACTGGATCCTCAGTTTCGACCACGTAGTTCTAATTTCCTGCCGGAAGTAGCGCCTGCTGCCGCAGAAAATTGCATTTGTGCCAATTTCGAGATTATATTTTTTTCCTGCATTCAGCTCAATACTGCAAATCAATTGCCTCTGTGCCGAATTGTAATTTCAGCTGGAGGTAGACAATCAAAATGTAACAAGAAACAAATATAGTTCCCACCGCTGTTTTTCGGTTAAGCATGGATTAAAAGTGTGTTGAATATCAGTTCTTGCGTTGCTCCACGGAAGTGTTGGCCTGGCGATAGACTTTTTAGCGCATTCTATACTCGAGCACAAGTTTGCACGCTCCAACAGCCTGACTCATGCCATTTGCAAAGCGATGCTCATTTTGGCATGCATCCTAGCGCTGACCTCCCGTAAGCTACACCGTACCTACACGCTTGTAAATATCCGGGTTTCGGTTTTTCACGAGACCTTTAATTTATTGTACTAAGAGCGTAATGAACATGTAACTTGAGCGACTTTAATTCGAGTCGAAACAGAGATGTCTCATGGAACATTGACAAGGTGGACTAATCCAATGCTGTTCCAGACATGTAGATCATTGTGCGCGAGATTATTACTGTCACTGGCGGACCTTATTGTACCCAAGTATGCCTAAACACACACTTGTACCCGCACGCAGGCTTCTTTACCCTCGTTGCGGATTTGGTGGGAGTTAAAGCCGCTGTGGCGCTCAAACGCATACCATCCACAACCACGTGACGCGCTAAACGCATGGCTCGTTCGCTCACAGGAGGCGTTGTTGATATTTGTGTTGTTGTTGTTGTTGTTGTTGCTGCTACCGCCGCCGCCGCCGCTGCTGCTGCTGCTGCTGCTGTGGTGCGGTAACGCATCAATGTCAGCTGCTGCGTTCTCTCTGTGTTTTGGTTTCTCCTTGGCCTCCGCACTACGCCAATCGTGTGATATACGTGCACCCGAGATAAATTGATTCGTGTCCTTTTGCTGGGGTCTCAACACACACACACACACGCACAACACGTTTACTATTGTAGCGCCATGCACTAGCAATAACAAAATGATTGCTATAAGGCCTGTGGGTTTTGGCTAGGGGCGAAACAGACTGTTAAATGTCGGTTATGTTGGGGTATTGATTGTAATTCGTGATTGCTGGCAGTTAAGGTCGGTTACATACAGCAACCAGCTTAAGTCAAGTGTCTTACATAACCACTTTCTGTAAGACAATTAATATATTTGCACCTACTAAGATCTTTTGTGACTTTCAGAGACGACTTTTGTAGTGAGTATTCACCTTTTAACACGCTTTAGGTTCTTCCAATCCCTGTGAATTCGTTTAAATCACGCTTGACATTGTGTCAAGAAGCATGACTTCTTAGTAAGTATTCAGGGTACTAATTTCAAGTCGGCAACAACAAACGAGTGCTTTCTTAGTCTTGCCTCAAAGAGCTAATCGGTTGACCCGAAAACCATTGAGGTCATTCGATGCGCATTATATCGGCCCATGTGATAAAAGTGTAGGGCTGCATTGCGTGCTCGGGCACGGGCCGAACCACCGAATGCGGTGGTTTACCTGTGACGTGCGTTAGTCATGCACGCAATTGCTGGGCCGAAAGGTAAATACGACGTGTGTTCGTGGCCACGGTGTGGATGTGACTACTTGAGGCGGAACTTCGAAGCGCGGACCCACCTATCTGCTCGCGAATCGCATCCCTCTCAATTCTAGCACAGGCACTGCATAGTGGATACTCTGGTCGTGTGCATGTACTGTAAAATGTGTTGTAGGCCCCAGATGAGCCTGGAAATACCACGATTCTATTGCAAAATTATCGCCTGAAGTATTTCCCTCATTGTATTCATAACTTAATGTTCGTTTATGTTTCAGTCATCTTTGGTTGATTAAAGGTGGCGAGACAGTCGTTTGTACAATGGCCCCATTCAGGCAGGCCTCTGTTAGTGGTGGCGACAGCAGCATAAGTGATTACTTGGTTCGTTACGCCGTGTAGAATTTTCACCAACGTACCGTTAAATGTGCCTTTCTGGCACCGAAGAAAGTCGTGGTCACAACTTAAGGCTTTACACAGTGCGACGAGGTGATTGTGTGAGTGGCTTCTGATCTCAGGAGTGCCGGAAACCTTTCACTTTTTCCCAAAAAAGTCACTCGCACCGACTATTTATGCAAAATAACCGTCAAAGAGGTCTCAATGCAAGGAGTTATCAGGCCCACAGTTTGAACGAAGGCACACTGCTTCCTATGGGCTGTGACTTTGCCAGTGGTTTAATTGGGTTTCTCAAAATGAAATTTAATTTTACAAACTGCTTCTTTAAATGGGGGAGGTATTGCATGGTAAAAAATCTACTGCATTTTTCTATTAGCGGTTAAATTAGTAGGTTAAGCATATTTGGGCAATAAGACAACGCCTCCTGACGCCAATAAGGAGCCCCTTTGATTTCGACGCACATCGTGGCGATTAACATGGAATCCTCATTGATGTTGTCTATACACTCTTGTTAAATTAGGGCTAAAAATGAACACACAGGTCATTGAATTTTACAAGTTAAAAGGATTCATAAATTATGTGAGACTCAGTTATCAAAGGCAGATCTGTTGAGTTAATATGACACCATAACTGCTGTAATTGTGTTTATACAGAAGACCTTTTGAAACCTACCTTCCAAGATATTTTACCGTCCAAATGGTCATATTTTTGTGGTCATTTTCACAGATGAGGTGGTTAAATGGCGTGAGCATCTGCCGTTCTACCTATGAATTGCGTCTTTATTATCAGGGATGTTAGCTTCTACGTTGTGGACTTTGATCTCAATTGTGCAATCATTTGTCCAGCGTTTTTATAAACCTATTGCGTAATATTTGTAAGGCCTTTCGTTATTCTGAAACTCTCTACTGAAATCAAAATAGTAGCATGTTTTTACTCTTTTTCAGCCGGGAAATCCTACCAATGCGAGCTCTGTAATAAATGCTTCACAAAAAGCTGCAATCTGAACTCTCATGTAAAGGCTGTTCACAAAGGTAAAGCGCCTACCATTTGGTTTTTTATTGAAGTTGCTATTTTTGCGTATTTAAAACAGAACTTCGACATTTTTGTTTAACGAAAACTCGGTTACCAACGAAAATCATTGATATTTTGCCGTCATGCAGTGGTGGAGGACGCAGTTTCGACATGCAATGAGAGCAAAATGCTAGTCTAGTTAGGTTCAGTTTCACAAGTAAGCAAGTAAAGTGAAAGTAATCAGGTATTTTCAGGAGAACGAGGCCGATTTGGCCCAGCATTTTAACGTCAGAATTTTTGCAGGTTGAATCACGTGGCTCACACGACCTAGCACCGGCAGCAAACATCGTTAAAACTCCTAAGCCAACAAAAAGGCAAAAACGCCTGACTCTTCGGAAAAAAGCCTGCTTCCCATGGTCCTTCTATTAGCTCACTTTGGTGATCGCACTCGGGATTGTGCTGTAGGGTTGGGGTGGCCAGGTGCTGTGCTAGTTGATGCGTGCAGGTTAGGATTACACATTCTTTGCCTGCAGGTGTTCGCGCATTCCAGTGCAGAGAGTGCCAGAAGAGTTTCTCGCGCAACTCCGACCTGCAGAAGCACATAGACGCTGTCCACAAGGGCCTCCGGCCGTACGAGTGCGCCATCTGCCAGAAACGCTTCTCGCAGAAGTCCAGTCTGAAGCGCCATCGGGAGGCTGTCCACGAAGGTGAGGTCTCCATGTAGGTTTGTCCGCCCTGCGCTCTGCACCAGCATTCAGCGTTCGCTTGTGCTGGCTTTTGCACCCCCTGTATTGCGGTACTGCGGGATTTCTTGATCAAGCACCGTGTAGTCGCGGATTTAGATCATGGTGAGAGCTAGCTACTCGAAGTGGTCTGCGGGGTCTTGAGAAATCGAGCATAAAATATGTGTCCGAGTTCGTGAATTTTCGTGTTTTTATTAACACATTTTTTGAATATATATGTTGTGGTCACGTATTCGCGCGATGCCCTTAAGTGTAATTGACATTTTGCGATTTCCAACTGATGACTGCAAATGAAACAGCTCTGGCATTATCGCAGGCGTATTATTTGTTATACGCCATAACGGCCTTGAATCGGAGTTACTACTCAATGCCACTCGTCTGTACCCGCTGTCCAAAACCAGTAGGCACAAAATTATAGATTTCTAATTTAAGTGCATCGTTAATTTTTAATATTCATGTCATTTCTGAGATATGCAAACACTTAAGTGCTTACTTTTGCCACGGCTAACACCAATCGTCCTCACAAATAGGGCGATGCCTCACTTTATGGGACGTCGACTGCAGATATCGTGGGAAAGCGGAACACTAGTTCCATCAAGCCATTTCACGGATCAGGAGGGTGGTGCTTTGGCGTTAATAACTGGCAGGCATCATTCTTGTCTCAATTTCGCTACGAAATACAGTCTACTGTTTCGTCTGTTAGTTACTCGCCTCTTTGAGATATATTAGACAAAGCATTATGTGAGAGTGTCCAGAAAGAAGTCTACAAAGCAAACTCTCTAAGACTCTATTTTCATAAAAGTCAGTTACTATTATGGACTCACAGTTATGACGTTAGGTTGCCGGATTGCGGATTGTGGTGCTGTGCTAGGCACAGGGTCCGTTGTAGGATTCGAAATCACGTTTGGGCCAACGACTTGTACCGACATGGTTCAACCGAGGGCCGAGGTCGATACAGGCTGGGCTTTTACTCATGTGCTACTCCCTGTTGTCTTTATTTGGCCATGTGCCAACATGGATACTTTCCTGGTTTTATAAAAAAAAGTCGTTTGACATAAATATTGTTCAAGGAACCATGCACCTTACGACCTGGCCAATCAAACATGTCTTCAAAATTACTAAAATGCAAATAAGCACGTACTGACTAATGGTGTCTCCGTTCATTCTAAATTCAAATTAACGGTCTTTAAGAAGCACTTCAAAGGTCCTCTTCTGTGTTCACAAGAGAATCTTATTAGTTTCTCAATGGCTAAATTTTAGGTCAATTCCTTTCTCAAACACTATTATTAAACTTGGATAAAAATATCGAAACATAGCTGATACTTAGTGAATCGTTTGTTGGCCAAGATGTGCTTCTTTCACTGCTACGTTAATTTCGAGTAACTTAATAATGTAATTGACTTTTTGGTTCGAGTCCCATTACGCTCACTTGTAATTCAGATGAGATATGTGAGGCAAATCAGACACCCTTATTTGTCATGGAACTTCCGATCCCATTCGACGAGCATTTTTACGCCTCGTTTTGCTAGTAAATCGTTGCCTATACAGACCCACCGTGTCATATTTGTTTGATTGATTTTACCGTAGGAATTAAGGCCTTTCAATGTAACCACTGTGCCGCCAGATTTTCCTACGATGTCCACTTAAAGCGCCATATTCGCGCGAAACACAAGACTACCTCAACGCCAGGAACGGAGGCTGCCTCTTCAAGCAGCCTCCCGTCTAGTCCTGTATTCCAGCCCACCTCCCTCCGACAGGCCTCTACTTGAGCCGCAACCCGCCCACCATCGGTCCCCTCTGTTAACCTGCTCAGGCGGTGCCAAGCACCTCTCTCGCCAGTACCTCAGGACCCTCGTGCTCTTCCAATTCACGCCTTCAGGGATTTTTGCGTCTCCTTTTATTCACTATTTTTTTTGTGTTTGTGCGAGTGTGCTATCCACAACTTCCACATCTCAGGGGTCTATTTTTTGCGTTTTATTTTGTTAGCGACTGTGTAACTACACTGACTCACGGTCGAAACAGAGTTTGTTAAATCACTATCTTTGTATGTATGAACTAAAATGGGTTTTGTATCCCAATTTACCATAACGAGTGGAACCTTGTAGGGTTTTTGCCTTCCCCGCCCACCAACCACGATACTATTTTGTTTTTCCTTCACTCGAATTTGTGCAAAATGTATTGTGTACATACGTATATATATAATGAGAAATAAATGCATAACCGATTTTCAAATTCAGGTTTCACATGATTTATGCAATGTCCCTGCGTCTAGTAGAAATCTTTTGATTGTGGTTTGCTTGTACTCATGCGCCATAAATACGATGTAATTCATGAAGAATTCCTTAAAGAACGTCTGCCCGGTTTTTCACCTCTGAATTTCCGAAAACGTGATCGTGTGTGCGACGTTGCTTACACATTTTAGTTACGAGGAACGCAAATATTATTTACCCGTATTGAGGTGAAACGACAGCTCAGAAATGCTAACATTATTATTCTCTCAATAAAAAGTGTAATTTAGATGGCTCTTAATTCATTCTGGGCAGTAATGGTTTGTGAAACTCATTAGTTTACATCCGCAGGTTACAAGCTGTTCCATCCCATTTGTTCTATCAAATGTGCTGCCGTATCCATGGCACTCAACGTTATGTCGCTCCAGATATAGTACGTCTTTAAACATTACCCAACCTATTCGTACTTCTAGTGTTAGCTTTTGGGGCGAAGGCCTAACTTTTAGCAGCAGAAATCGAAAATTCGGAATTTAATATTACCAAGATGTGACTGACTTCCATCGAAATACCACTTTGATCATTATCTAGGCGATACGAATACTTGGCCAATGCTGCGTTATCAAAAACCAAAATAATTTATGATTCGATTCGAGATATTCAGGACTGTTGTTCTAAGATTTTAATGGGACAAATTAATTAACTCTTAACAGAAACAAATTCTGCATTGGACATTTTAAATATTACCGAAGTGTCTAGGAATGTTAGTGAGTGTAGGCGATTCAAATGTGAGATACATTTTTGGAATAATGTCAAAATAAATTTTCTATATGGTTTTTTTCGTTTTTCCCTCACAGTACATAGCGTCTGACTTATAGGCATCCGATTACACACGCACACCTTGACTTTGTATCATAAAGTCAACACTTGGTGACTTGCTTATGGAGTTCAAAAAGCTATTTAAAGCAAGACGCATGAAAGAAGTCATCAGTGTATTACAGATATCTAGCGTTTAAGAGCTCATTTTTTTACAATTTGAAAAGATAATTAACAGGTTGTTGACAAAATTGATATTTCAGTTTTTTGCTATATTGAGAGTAAATGATTGGTAAATAAACAGATGAAAACATTCTAAAAAAAGGTACCCGATTTTTAGTTTAAAGAATATGAAATTATACATGTTAAATTCTACTGCCTTCTTATTCGACAACGGCTTTGTTTCGGAATATAATATTTCACAGTTTATCAGCGTAAGCATTATCGACATCAAAGTGCATAAAAAAGAGAAACCAAACGGCAAGGCTATGACTTATAGATTTTCAAACATTAAAGACATCTGATTAGAATACATCGAAATGTACGCAGGGTTTTGCGGCTCTGACAAAAATTGCAGTAAGAATATCGGACTAGCAGCATCTAAAATTTACTCCAGTAAATTGTATTTAGCAAAGTCCTACACAGTAATGACGTAACCTTTACTTAAAGAGAAATATTAAGTAATTTAAGGAGTTACTTGACCCAGTGATCCAGGGCGAGTGTAAATATGTCTCGAAAATTCGATTTCTTAATCTTTGGTCATGCATTGATTCAGGGCTGTAAATATTCAAAACTATTTGCTGAAAATATGATTTCACATACCGAATTAGAAACACATCATTTAATGTCTAATAGGGCTTGATCCAACATTAAGTCACACTGCTTCTAATGCCACTATAAATTATTGTTTAGTGGTTCAGATTTGTTTACACACACATATAATGCAAGTACTTCACAATGTTTCTTACCAAAAGCTTCCTTCATTTTAGACCAGTTTGGTATATTTAACAAAGCACTGCTATATTGAGGGACATTTTAAAATATTTTAAAAAAATGTTTATTTGAGCAAATAAATAACCTGGAGATAATTGGCTTATTCAATCTTAAGTTTAATTGGCTGAGGTGAGAAGTTTTTTGACGTTAAATGCCGCGAGTGTTCAAACCTAGGGTTGTGTTCGGTTCGTCTCAGAATCAACAGTAATTCACCATTTTTTACTATGGTTTTCTTAGAAAAAGCAGGGTAGAATCTAAGACATCCGATCCATCAACTGTCACATCTCTACCGCCGCGTTCTCCACCTCAACAAGATGTCAAGTCATTAGAACAGCAAATTAGTAACGTTCCTGAGTCCCAGGGTGATATTAACGCTCAAACCAGTCCCACAAAAGATAGTGAAAAGCTTTTATGTGTTCCAGAAAACATATTTTCTGCGCAATCACCTCCAGTTCAGTTGGAGAAGAACGCAACATACCCCAACCTGAATCGGTATGTTATTTTTATGTTACGTTTTATGTCACTTTAGGAGTAGCGACGTTGATATTGACGCAGTGTGTCCCGAGGAATCCAATAGCTCTAATTCAAGCAATTTGGAGTCCGTTGAACTTTTCGTTGTCAAACAGGTGTGTTCGGTCCGTCGTTTTTATTCATATTAATTATTGACACTTAAAAGTACTTAAATTTCTAAGGATGTTATGTTACGTGTTTTAGATTAAAATTATACGTTTTAAGGGAGCAGTGTGAGACTCATGATCTAAATAGGTAACACCCAACACTTCAAGCTTTGTTATGCTTCCTGCTGTTGATATAAATTGACTGACATAACAAGCTCTTCCCCCAGGTAACTGTTGCTGTGGTGAATTATAGTTTAAATAACTTTGTTCATGTTATGTAGTTTTTATTTGTTTCACTGCCACCGTTTCAGCAACCGCGTCGTCATCGAGTTGTTTATGGCGAGCCACCGCCACCAGCGGATAAGCCACTTGACCGTTCAACGGTAACCTTGCGTTCTCTCCTCAATTGGATTCCCACGAATAAACCACCACCAAGGTTTGTCCTGTATTACTTCGGTCTTTTTATTGTGTCATTGGTAAGAGTCGCTTCTAAATACTGTGACTTTTGAGCATGCCATTGCTTCCGACCTACTTGTCATTAGTTTGTTACACCTAAGGTCATTAAAATACTATTTACAACTTAACCTAAAATTTATTGTTTTTTTTGTATTTTGTAGTTGATAATCTTTATACCAGTTTCAGCAATTGCTTACCACGTGAACTTTTTTTGGAGTGAATTAAAAGAGCTTGAAAAGTCACATCAGTCCGTTTTGTACAATGTCTTTCTTTAATAACCACCTTAATCTAAATCTACCCATCTGGTCCATTAACATAGAATTCGAGACTGCCAACTAAAACCGAAGCCAGTCCAGAACGATTTGAAGCAGGTTCAAGCACCTTGTGAGAGCGAAAAGAATCGTACAGAAGAGTCAGATGAAGGTTTAGGGAATGACGCGAAAGCAGCTCATGTAGACCCCTTTGCACCGCAGCTGTGTCTCGATGCCGAGGGCAACATAGTGCTAGATGAGCAAAGTCTTGAAATCACTCGTCCTGAAGACACTTCGACAGCCAAATTGCGGCACGTTGCTGAAGAGGCTGGACTTTATGGAACCACCTACACCAGCTTCCGTCGACGCCCCATTACCCAACGCGGTCGAAGGTGGTCTGAAAAAGACACCACTCGTTTCTATCGTGCGCTCAGCACGATTGGCACCGACTTCTACTGCATGACCAAGCTCTTTCCTGATCGGACGAGGGCTCAACTTCTCGTACGTTTTACAGGAATGGCGTTTTCCACAAGCTGGTCTAGTCTTAATCTCATGACAAAATACCGGATTTTCTTTTCTATCTATTTCTCATGTTTTCTCTTCACCTGTAACAAAATGTTTTATCATGTAGCTTCCGCTGTCGTTGAAATTTTTACACCTCTTTGTCAGTTAGCATAATCGAATATTGTCTTTTAACTTAAATTGATTAATTAGCGCCTTGTACCTGCACAAATCGCGATATTTTTTTTGTTTATATCATTGACAATTGAAGTGTTAGATAATATAGTATCCTTGAGGTAAAAAAAATTTTATTCAGTAAACGTGATTAATTTCAAAGTCCAAAATTTTGATTTATGTCAACTTCAAGAAACGTCTTTTCTTTTGTAACTTCATAAGAAGTAAACTTTTTTGAATGTTCGTAATGCTGACAAAGCGAATTCCTCGATTTCAAATTCTTCATCTTGGTCTGAAGTGCGTCAATAATTGTAAATGTCGCTCAGAAAATAGACTACTACTATTTTTAGAGCGTCACTGTAACTTATATAGACCTCTTTGTGTCACCTTCAGCCAAAATAATCCTTTTCAACTTTGACAACCCCTTGTTTTTTACCAATCTTCATATGGGTAATTATCTGAGTGATCCGACAAGCAAACTCTTGTCCATGTTGTGAAGTTGCAGAATTCCCAAACGCCACACAATTCCAATTCTGTGTAGCGGGTTTTTGGATTCTCCGGCTCCTACTAGAGTGGACAAATTAACAGGTGTTGTTAGAGCCGAGCGTAGGCTCATCGGTGTCATGTGTGCCATCACACCAGCACTACCGTCTCGGTGTTTGGCTTACCCTGCGATAACCCGGGTCCGGAGGCCAAACATGGTTTTGACCTGCAAAAACACCGCTGCGCCGTATTTTTTTACTCTCGATAATTCTTTAACATCGACATTTCAAGATAGTTGTGCCAGACTTTCTCTCACCTTTGTGGTCATCAAATGGTGCTATGCTTCATTTTTATTGATTTCTGTTTCAATTGTTTATCACCCATTGTCTTTAGAAAAAGTTCAAACGAGAAGAACGCCTCTTCCCACACTTAGTGAATGAAGCTTTGAGTATGTTGTCATTCAATGCGAGCATAACCATTGTTCTAGAAAACAAGCGAAATTACGATATTACTGCATTTTACAACAGTGAAAGTGAGCCTGAAGAGAAGTACGAGAAATTGACTGAGGATGCCATAGCACAAAAACGGAAAGGTAAATTCTCCAATTATGTGTGTATTACTTAGCCCTGGGCTTTAATTTATTTGAATTCTTACTGAATGTCTTTAACCCCACACCTGCACATTTCCTCTTAAATTTCGACCAGTAATATTACTGTTAGGATTCCTCTTGGTGTTAGTGAGGACCGCACGCCTAGAATGTCCTTCTCAAATTTTGCCGTCGTCATGTTTTTCTCCACGAAATTCAGTTTCCGAAACCACGTTGTGATTATGTTGCGTTCTTGTATCGCGTTTAAGTTTTAATTCGTGTAACCGCGCGAAGCCCACTGTGAAGTCCCGCTTATTTAAACCTTTGCAAACTTGTATTGCCAAAACTTACCCAGCAAAAGCAATGCACTGTGGTCTGCATTGAATGTACTCGGTTTACTTGGGTGACTTCACCTTAAGAAGTGTCATCGCACTGATCAGGCCTCTTCCTCCTTCTCCTGATATTGGGCATCAACTGAGGCATTAGATGACACGGGAAAGCGAATTTGGTCGTGCTCATTCATTTAAATTCAAATGCGCCTTTAAGCTTTATTTGAATTTGCATTTCAAACACAGAACATTGGCTATGCTCTGTTATTATTATTCACGGGCTTTTCTCCTCCAAATTAAAACAACACCACGCCGTGATTCGTTGGTTCCCAAATCCTGAGTCTGTGTTTTCGAAGCTTTTTGAGTTATTGCGAATGCATATTGTAACTCGTGTTTACATTGAACAACACCCTACGTGAAAACCACGTAATAAAACACTGAAGCCTGTGGGCTAGAGGAGTTTAAATAGAATTTCTAATAAGTAGTAAGTTATCTCAAGCCATTTCAGAATCGAGTTGAATTCTCATCTTGTTTGCCCAGGTGAAGCGGCCTCCGAAAGGTAGACACATTTCAATCTGTGGTTATGAGGCGTTCAAAATCCAATGGCTAATTGTTCCACACCTCAGTACTATTTAGCAGCACAGAATAGTGGTCGTTATAGTAAAATGCGTTTTCCGGTATACGAGATTGGCAATTTGTGCCAATTAAACCTATAACGCAAGCTTTTCGTGAAAAGTATCTGCTCACGAAAACTTGTCAGTTTAATTGCTGCAGCCTAAGTAAATGGGTAGTTTGCCACGGTTATGACTCATTTTAGTATCAACCAGTTGCCGTTTCACATGAAATATTGAACTTTAACTCTCCGATTGCATAAATTCAGCGTTTATCGTCCATATCCAGGTATACGGCAGTCTTATGCATATCATTTTTGTTATATAGCAGGTTCAGGTTGCTTTTCGATGTGCCAATAATGTGATCTTGCCTGTTTTATCTTTGTAGCACCGAAGGAAAAGGCTGAGCTCAAAAAAGTCGCAAAGCGCTCCACTTGTGATATATCCTCCCTCATAGAGGAGGTCCTTGCTGAAAGCGTCAAGAAATATCCAGATGGTGGCGATGACGAAGAACTCACTAGTGTTTCACCACGAAAGCAGAAGATCACACCTTGTAGTCTTTCAGAAATGATCGAAAAGACTGCTAAGGGTTTATCTACCTGAAACTATTGACGACTGCCTTTCCGATGAGGGTGCTTTCTGCACACGACCTACATTTCAGTCCGTACTCAAACACCAAGCTCTTCTGCGATGTTGACTATTGTACAAATTACGATTAACTTAAGCATATTTGGATATGTTTTGTCGGTACAGAGTCATTACTTTTTACGACTTTTTATTGAGGACCGTAAAAATAATTTGCGTACTAATGTTTCGTTTCTGGCATCAATTTCGTCTAGTGCAAGTTGACGCGAATCCTAAACTGTCGTAGGTTTGGTATTTTACAAAGTGGCTTGGATTTCCACGACAATATTGTACTTTCTATTATGAAATGTGTGCGAGAGTGATAATTCTTGTAGTAAGGACCGAAAGCTTCGATCACTAACGAAACGCAAAGTGGTTATTTCGAGTTTTTCGCTATTGATTGGGGTCGCATGGCGTTTACACAGGATATCCAGATGGTCCCTTAACAGTCCGATGAGCACCTGCAGTTCGTATGAGTCTGCACTAGCGAATTCCGCGTGTCTGGGGTTTTTTTTGCCTGTGATTGGGAGTGTATGGGGCAGAAGAAAAATATGTGGAGCACCATTTATCAGCATTAGAAATCGCATGACTTCAAATAGTATGCTGCTATTGTTTCCGCGCAACTCTGCTTTACTAAACTGATCTCCGTTAGGACACTGTTCAGCTCGCCCCTCAGTAGATTACACTTTACCTTCCGGGTCTTCCCTGATGTTCCTCCTTTATGACATCTTTGCTAGGGTCTAAGCCGCCACTGTTATTCACAAAGTTGTCTGTTATGAGCGAAAATAAGGATGAGTATTACCTGTCAATAGAAGATTGTTTGCAGTTTGAACTCTCCGAGTTACGCCTGTTAGAAGTTGAAAAATGCCTAGAACTCGAGATGTTGCAGCAATAAAGGCTTAGAAATAAAACATCTTGCGATAGAGCATCAGTTGATGTTGAGTGTGGTAAAACGACGGAGCAACCCGCTTAACGTAGCTGCTGCAATTCTGCGAGGGAAAGGCACTGCAATCTGTAGAGCACTGCACCGATTTCGATGAAGGAATAGGTTTTAAAGTTGTAAGGGAAATCCTTGGAAAAAATTTGGACAAGTTTCAACTATAGCTGCGACCTTTTTGAATGATTTGCTTGACAGACCACTACCAATCGAAGGATTCAGAGAACCTCATTATAACCTACTGCATCCCTCTGTTGGCAAATACATCGGAACAAGAAATCAAGAAGGATCAAATGGAAAAAATACGTCTGTTATTCGCGGACTGCTGTACAAGAACACGATCCCAATACGTCCCACGATCAGAATACGACTATTGAAGTCTTAGAAACGAATAAAGCTTGTTCTGTGCCTTGTATGGCTTCTGACGCCTCTGTCAACACAAGTGTCTTCGATCAGAAGAACAACGTGGAGGTGTCCAGTCTACACGACCCAACCAATGAGACTTTTGTTACCATGGGGCCAATTACGCCTAACACAGCTCAGTCAGCACTCAGAGACAGTCACAAACCAGAAAGAGAAGGTGAGGATCATGTGAGCTGCAGTTCAGTGAAAAAAACTTTTCGAAGATACCCACAAACAGGATTGGTTCAACTTTGGTTCAGGATATTACCGTCTTCCTTCGAAGATGATTTGAGTGGACATTTCAAGGTGCCCCGATCTTGGGAAACCTTAACAGCAACGACTCCGTGTAAATCACACAAGCCAAAATGCATCTCAAGCCTTTCGATAAAGGTATGAAACCACTGGGCGAACTGTCGAAGGTCACTCAGTATAATGGTCACGCTGAAATGCCTTGAGACAGAACCCAGACTAATGCTGTTACTTCTATCAAATGCTAGGCAGAAATATCGACTTTCTGATGATAATTTAGTATAAGATCATGAGGTGGAAGCGTATAGGGAAACGTTGGAAAGAAGAGAATGCTCACAAAATTATCCAGTACAAAATTGGACTTTATTTCTGCCCAGTTCCTCTAAGGTCTGATACTTTCCTTCGTCCAATTGCTTATCGATATCCCAACTGGCCGGGGGAGTGTAACATTTGTCACGTTATTTCGCTGTAACCCTTTGTTCTACTATACTGGCATCCGTCAGAACACTGTTCACTTCACCCCCGTCAGTAGTTTTCACGTGAACTTTGTAGCGGATTAGCACGGACGTTTATCCTGGATTGTCACTACATGTTTTAGCGCATCTGCGACTCAGTTTCACACTTCTGAGCTATAAACACACGCAAACGTCACAGTCAACAACTTGGTTGAGCTGTCCAAGGAACGGTTGTGTCCGAGGGTAGCAGAGTAGCGTATTCGGCCCAAATTCAAGTCCGTGGCCCCGGCATGGCTTGAAACCACATGCCGGGGCCCACAACAAGTCCTTTTACTGCTTGGATCAAGGGCGCAACAGTCAGTGGATATGAAGATGGTTCACTCTATCTACTATCGCAAAAGTAAAATTGGTAAAATCTGGCTTTTCACTGAGCCTGCGACGTCACAAAGGCATTGCGCTGCGAAGTACACAAAGTACTATTAAAATATTAGGGATAAAAAGTGAAAGTGTAAGATCTCCGATAAGCAAATCACGCTACAACGAAGGTTATCAACCCTTCTGCTTTAAAAAAGGCCAACAGCAACAATAGTTCCCCCACCTTTGCTTATGAACGACAACAGCATTCCCCATGAGTGGATGAAATGTACCTCAGTGGGCAGTTCGTTTTCTAATGAGACCGGTAAGTTTAAATTGACAAGACAGGAAAGAGTTAGCACACAGTCATTGTCCAGGGACCACAAATCTGTTAGCGATGGCATTTTGCAGAGAGTTCAGGCGCGCGGCGAGTTTGTCGAGGGATTGATAACGGGCTTCCGAGGCAGACTGGTCCGCGGAGAGGAGGAGGATCTGTTGGGCTTGGTCAATTCGTCCAGCAATGGTGCCGTCCATTATGCAAGCCACCAGTAGCGACTCCACCTCTCGCTGGTCTAAGTTTAATTGCTGTGATATAAAAGGTAAGCGGATTCGTGTGTAAGGACGCAACAACTTTACGAGGACCTCAGTGCGGATATTTCGTAGGAGATCCTCTATGTGTTCTCTTATGAAAGAATCGTCCATTATTGACTGACGCTGTTCACGAAGAATGGCCTCGAATTCGTTGATATCGTTGTTCTGGTAAGCAGTCACCAGGCTAGTGACGGCAACAATCTGGGGATCGTTTTTGTAAGGCTTTGTTTCCTGAAAAAGAAACAGCCGCACCTGTTCATAGTAATTCGTACAAGACCAAGAATCCCTTGGTTCTTTCGTAAAACTTGCAGGTTTATAAAAGCTAGTTCTTCAAATCACATGGTTCTGCAGAATCAAACTATTCACAAAACTAGAAAAGATAGCCTCTTTCTATGTCGAAAGCGTGAAAGTCAAAAGAAAAGTGCACAATCACTAATAAGTCCAGAAAGCAAAGCAATAAAGAATACAAGAGTAAAAATTGTGTAATGAAATATCGAGAATCCGAACTAATAAGAACCAGTAACAAATTTAACAGTTTTCATTGAATTTTATTTGCGTGTGTTCGGTGTTTTCTACGGATAGCTTTTAAGTCGCAAGTTTTTCCGCTTATCTCAGGTCTTTTAAATGCATAAAACCTTACACGCAACACAATAGCCTGAGTCAATTAAAACATTGGTCTAACATTTGCTTCGTTAATAATGTGATCATAACGGAGCACGTTACGAGTTGCGGAACTTAGAAGCTGACACGAGTGTGCAAAGTTAGGGGCTAGATAGGAGTGCGTAACTACCTAAATAGGATAGAACCATGGGCAATACCAGAATGAAGATCCAACATACCTGAGAATCAAATGGGTTAATTTCGGATTTCGCCAACATACTGGCCAAAACAAGGTATTTGAGACACTGTGTCCGACGAGGAGACCCCGACTCGTCGTAGTTCTTAAAGGCCTCGAAGAAATCCGTGTGGGCACGTTCGTACTCACCAACCCTGAGATGCATCTTGCCACCACACTCACGGATAATACCCATTATTAGTGGGTGGGGAATTGCAGACTTGATGTGCAACGACTGTTCATAGAGGGCTTTCAGTTTCTTGTTGTTTTTTTGCGCAGTATACATTTGAATCTCAAGAGCATAAATCTCTAGCAGTTGGGTCCCCTTCTTCAGATCGTCTTCCCCCTCAACTGTTTGGCAAGACTCACGCAACTCTCTGATGATGTGCTGGAGCTGAAGGAAATCACCTTGTTCGAGATATAGTTTGCCCAGTTTTGTGTTGGTTTTAAACCATAGGCGTTCGTTTTTTGCCTTCTTTAGAGCATTTAATGTTGTGGTGTAAACGTTCTGAAGTAAATCCATCTGTCTCGAAGTGGAAACATAGTCGAGGATGGAGTTAATAGACTTTTCAGAATTGTTGCGTGTCACTGCAGATTTGATATAAGTGAGAAGAGTTCTGTAATCTTCCATCATTTCGTCGAATTTACCTAAGCGGAACTTAATCTTGATCATCTGCTTCAAGGCCCGAAAACCCCAGTCACCCTTCGTCCCGCTCTCGGCTTCGATGGCTAAAACTTTCTTGAACTCCTCGACAGCGAAGTCAGGATTGTCGTCCTTGCGAGACTTGGCGTTATAGTATTGGTTTTCAAGGTCTACGTCGGGCTCTGAATTGGCGTCAGATGAGTATGCCACAGAGAGTTCCCCATCGTCGATGAACATGTCATCGTCACTGAATGACATTTTTATACTAAAAAGGGCAATATAATCAGTCAGCTTTCCAGAATAACCTAGGTAAAGAGTAACTTTTCTAATTAAGTAAATGGTTACAGACTCTAAGGCCTGCGCTGCAGTTCAACATATAGTAGGAAATTGGTATGTACATTCGCAAAAAGTTTGGCCGATCTTAAAAACAAGGTAATAGCAGGTCAAAGGTAATTTCGAACATCTCTTCACGTATGGCAACTATCTGCATAAGGTGAAAAATGTTTTCCTCATAGTCAACCTGATAAAGCATTCAGGTGTTACGTTTTAAATACATTTAGAAGTGAATGCCTACACTTTGGTCAAAATACCTCTGGATCGTTAAGCAATTAAAAGGTAATAGAAAGTGAAAGCACTCCCAATAAATCCACGAATACTAATCTAGAAGTCGGCCCAAATACGACTTCAAAAATGTTATTTAATCTCAATATATCTAAGCAGAATAGGAATACGCGAAAATACATTGTGATAAAATTCAACGAACAGAAACAGAGAAGTGGTTACAGAAATAATTTTGGTGGTGTGCCTAATTGGCAGCAATTACGGCTAACTCGAAGGTTAAAACCTCCACCATTGCATTGCCTTCGACAATTCTGGCTCTCAATGGCATCACTGGAAATAAACGTTAAAACCTTGCTCACAAAATACCACTGAGTAGCATATGGTAAAGGATAAATAGTGAGTTCTACTAAAGGTACATGTGGCACGGACCAATCAGGTGGTTAAGCCGGGAAATCTTGCGTAACGATTTGAGAGCTTAATTTGGTAAAAAAATTAAGGAGAACTGACGAACATTTAAAACCAGAATAACGAGGTGCAACAATGTGGGTTTGAATTCAATTACAACACAAAAGAGCATAAAAGTTTCGACATAAAAAGTATAATTGTTATATGAGGGAATATTCGGAGCCAGCAAATCAACAAACCCGAAACACCGGAGTTACGTTTAAAAGTGCAGACATATCGGACACGAAAGCCTCAACCAATCCTCTGTCTCATTCCGTTCCAATAGCATGCAAGTAAGATGTGCAACCAACCAAAGACAGATACTTTTGAGAAGTGGCATTTATTGAACGGCGAAGTCAGCGTGGTGGACTCGAATGAATGGCACCTGAGGTTCAGGTCTGGCTTGTAGTTGGTCAGTAAAGCCTTGTCTGTTGTACCATTTTTTTTCATACTAAGGTTCGGCGATTCTACACCGGTAATAGGCCCAAATTTGATGTTCAGGCGACGATTTGACCTTGACTTTTACAACTCGGCCTATTGATAACTGAGGTTTGAGAGGAACTTTTCAACGATTTCAAGTTCCTTGACTGCATCCTTCGGGAACTTGTTGGCTGGTTAATTACTTGCTTTGACATATTATTACTTCGTACCTGAGGTCTGACTTTTTGAATTTCACTTAAAAATTTCGATTTTCAATTGGCTGGAGTGATTCAGTCATGCGATTGGTCTGAAAACAGTGTCGGTGTTTCGTGTTTTGGATTTGGCATTTGCCATTGATGGGCCTTCGCATCCTAGGTGTTAAAGACAATGAGTCAGTAGATTACCCATTATTTTTGCTAAGGAGCACGTTTTTTTGTAGGAATGGTTGCAATCCAACCTTGAAACACATACCAGACAGCGTGGTTTTCCAAACGTTTTCAAAGTCTTCAAATAATATTTTGTTAAAGGCTCTTCTACCGCTGTGCGATGGTAGAAACAATATATGCATCTTTTGCCCTCACCAATCATTTGATTTTACTCTTGATAAACTCCCGATGAACGAATCCAGGCCTTATGTTAGACCCATCTATGTCACATTCAATGGCCACGACGGGTCGTTTCAGGCTCCTTCGAATGTTAGTTCAAACCCAGACAGTGCCTGTCGCCGATTGGGATTGGCTGTGCGAATACTTCAGTCGGCAACAGCCGAAATTATCCTCGCCGAAACTGGTTACCGACGCTCATTCGCCTGTGCAGGCGATTTTCGCACACCATCGAAAATTCCCCCCCGTGTTTCGGCCTCACCAGTATCGGCTGCTGTGTGGTGTATTCAGTCTAAACTTAGCTTTGAAGAAGCCCAGCGTATGTCAGTAATTTCACTATGGGAAACTCTCGCCCGAGAACTACACAACGTATTTAGTGAAGATAGAGGTCAGGCGAAATGGTTAGCTGTTGTCAGCTGTACAGAATTTAAAGCCCTTGCTACTACGGAAACCACTCCTTTATCACACGAAGCCATCATTTCTAGAACCGTGGCATACTGCGCTCTAGGTAATGGAATAGGCATTATTGTTATGCTTTCGTAGGCGCAGGTGGTTTGGCCCTATTTGGGTCTGGCAACTTGTATACATGGCCAGAAAGTATTGTTGATCTTGAAATTCATCTTTCTGACCTGCGGAAAGTCAACCGGCGACAGTTCCTAGATGATAGCGCGTACCGGTATGTCCGGAGCAACTATTATGATTGTTTTCAGGTTAATAACACATCCTTCGTTTTAGTGGGACTTACTGGGCTAATTACACAACCGCACTAGGAACTATGCTACATGAGCTAGGCCACTGTTTTGACTTAGATCACAGCCCGGAAGGAATCATGAGACGTGGAGGCGATGATTTGAACCTGATTATTTCCTTCCCTCCACCTGGGGTTTCGTCAGATTTTCGGAAAGTAAAGTAATTTTTACGGTACCAATTTCGAAGCCTATCAAACAGCAATCTTGTCGGTCACTATCGATCTTCCAGTTCAAGAAAGTAGTCTTTTATGAAATAGCAGCATGCTGTAGCCAAAATTTATGCAATAACACGGACGCTACATGGGGTAGCTCTGAGTCTATTGAGTATTGTGGTGCAGCATTCTGGGGACCTGAAATCGCCCAGTTTCTTTCTCGTCACCGGTAGGTTTTCATGCTAGCAATCTTGACATGCTAGCTGTTTCTAATTAGCACCGTTTCATTCTTTCAGCTGGTTTGTTCGGTCACCAAATGCCGACTGCGGAAATCAAATACAGTTTAAAAGGTGGGTTTCATTGTTTTTGGTTAATATTCTTCAACTTCTAGCGGAATTATACACGCTCCTCTCGGAATCCATTTGATACAAGTGAGAATGGCCGAAAAAACGTGTTCTCCCTTCTGTGCTGAGTTGTGGAATTCCAAACGCCGTGCCAACACACCAGAACTACCAACGGATATCACAATGATGCGGGGTTGCATCGTATGGCACAGGTCTTTCAAGGAAACACCAAAGACGTTCCATATCGCCAAGGTTCTGCAGAGCATCTCCTCTCAATTACGAGGAGCCGCTTTCAAAGTTGTGGTATTAGACCTTGGTGGATTCACATCCCAAATGACCTTTTCAGATGGAGATCGAGGTGTACGGTCTCACCCTCCTTACCAAAACGCTATATGATATTTTCCCCAGCTTTACAGGTTATTTAGTAAAAGCGACGGCCACATATTCTTTATTTTGGTCTTTGCAGAAGAGTAAATTAACAAAACGCTTGTCATTTTAAGTGATCAAAATACTCAGAATTTATACAATGGACCTAAGTATAAAATAGGACTCAAGGTCCTGAGATAGCCGAGTGAGGTGTTTCCAATTTCTCAAGTTTCTCAAAGTGTTTCTTCGCACTTCGGATATTCAGCAGAGTAGCTGACGCAGCTGTAAAAAATGTAATCAAATAGGTGCTGTAATTATCCAAATTTAGGTGGAAATGAACTCATTGAAATTGTGGCAAGATACAGCACGAAGTATCCAAGGCCAGAATGCGACTGAGACGACGGTTTCAATCGTCTGTCGCGTTATAAAAAGGGTTACAGTTTAGCGTGCAAGACGTTATAGTACGCAGAAACGCTCTACACTTGATCTCCGAACGAACGTCACTACGTGAAGTGGATTCGTTTGAATTTACTTTTGTATAGATCGCCATAAAATTTGAGGTTCCCGGAAATACAAAAAAAGAATTAACTGATTCTTCAAAATCAGTTTTGAGATCAAGGCAAATTAAAGGTGGCTGGAAGCGAGATGGCTCCAGCTGAAACTATAGACTCCGGCTCCAAGTACATGCCATTTAATACCAGGTGCATGGGATGTAACAATCGGAATTCGGGGATACAAGTTTAGTGCTTACCAATGGTGGGATCGGACATTATAACCATGATGTAGGTATTTGTTGTAAAGACGTCAATGAAGGCTGAAAATTGGGAGGTCTGTAACTCTATTGCGGTGAAATTGGCACCAACTTTACTGCAGGACAACTTGAACTGTTTGATAATAGTGCTAATCTTGTCAAATCTAAAAAAATGAATAACGAAGTTACACACATGTCGTGTTTATGACCCGAAATTATTTATATAAAACAACTGGTCACTTTTACGCCTAAAGTGAAATTGAATAGAGACCAGAGAAAGTAACTGCTTACCGATGTGGGTCAGAATGTTCATTATTGGTATGACAGGCAATTTCGAGGAAAGTAGCTCTTTCGAAGAGGATAATCTCGTCGGCTTCAAGCACATCACAAAGCTGAATGAGGTTCTTCTCCAATGCCTGAACGTTTGGAACCATCTGGTAAACTATTCTTGACCAAGCCTTGTAAAGTGTTTCATCCCAAATTGAGGTGCCGAAACAAACACATTGAACTGGCCTAGTAATTGAAACTAACTGCTTCTCCCGCTCTAAGAAAACCTATTGAGACAAAAACAACTCTTATAAATCCTCAAACGAGGCCCTCATGACTCCCACACAAAATAGTTGACACATTCAGGCGGATTAAAATAAAAACCGCATCAAAGTCCTTCAATGCCATGGCAAAATAGTGCAAAGTGAGAGTCCCACAGCCGCATTGATAGAAAATTAGAAAAAAACTAGGGAGACTTACGGCGTTTCTCCTAGATTCACTGACTAGATCCATCTTGTGAACAAGACAAAATATCTTTGCCCCGGGAGAATGTTCATTAATTGCTTCTAAACAAGAACGATAGTATGCCATATCTTTCTTCACATCTTGACTTTCCACATCAAAAACATAAATAAGCACTTCCACGTTCCGGAATATATTCTCTCTCTGATTAACAAAGTAGCTCTCCATAAAGCCTTCTTGACTACATAAGGAACTTAGACAGACCTAGAGACATACCCTCCGCAGTCCCACAGATTCAATACCAACCCACCCAAAAAACGCAAATGCACATGCTCTACATCCACTAAAGTGGGCAAATAAGGTTAATCCCCGGATTACTCGTAGGACCAAGTCGCCTTGTGTCTCTGGCGATAAAATTCGAAAAAATTATACTCCTCATGCTGGTTTTGCCGGAGCCTGACTTGCCCATCAAAAGGACCTACACTATCACCAGACACAATACACTACCAACCTTTTTTCTCATGATCTGAAACAGCAACTACAAGAATAATCAAAACCGGGAGAAATCAATAATTGCTAACTGTTTTGTGTGACTTAAAACAAATTTCCTATACTACAACGTTCCAGTTATAAATGCATCATTAAAGCCACACCACATAACTTTCACAAAAAATTAATATTTTGTAATAATTAATTAAAGCTACTGTGGATGGAGCTGTAGATCATCGAACTGAAAAAAAACTCAATGAAAAAAATATTCTTGGCTTGTATTGCCATTCTAATGAACCCGTAATTCCGACTTTTTTTAATTATTCGAAATAGCATGAACAAGCATTGTCAGGGTAATGTGCAGATTTTAACCAGTGCAATTTTCAATCTCGTTTAAAACTTCATATTTTTGTGATGTACTTGCAAAAACTGTGAAACAACATTTGCAATGAAGGAATTAGCTTTACCTGTGAAAGATGATCAAAGGAAATGCGTTGATTCTGAATAAAACTCAGAGCAAGCATATGCACGCGTTCCGTATTCCTTAAAAATTCTAGTGCTACATTGGTCATTTCTTAAGTTCAAAGCGCTAATTGTCATTATGGATAGAAAAATGCGACCAATAATTATTGGTAGGAATTTCACTAAAAAAACATTAAAATTGTCATTGTTTCAAAATTCTTGCAACAAAATGGCACCTTTTTGTATAAAACTAATTCTGTTTCCCATTTTTATTTCGTTAAAATTTGCATTTGCACAAAATTGTTCACTAATTCGTCAAAATTAGATAGACCGCTAGCGCTAAACTAAGTAATGCACCGATATGTCATTAACATATTAGCACTCTCACCATTTGGCCTCAAATTTTAAATTTGATCAGTTAAATTAAATGAAACAGTTGCTAACTCAGTGGGAAATTTTTTTGAGTATGACTGATTCATAACTACCAGGCAAGATGAAAAAAACGATATTTGAACGTCTTGCATCAAATGTTTGCCTCTAAATAGTGCAATATTTGCCCCCTGGCTTACCTGACAAAACTGAGAATTTATTCTTTAGTCTTTGTTGAGGAGCTATATATCACTAACTGCCTATCAAAACTGAAGTCGGTGGAAGGACAGAGAATCAACTGATTATTCGAGAACTTGAAAAACCGTGGTCGTATGTGGGGTTTGTGCGCGTGTATTTATAGCTCGGATGTGTGGGTCATAACTGCGCTAACATCGAGACCTAGGTGGGTGATTAATCCAAGATAAATATTCGAATGAATGAAGGGGGATTTGAGGATCTGCGCGGCTGGCGCCAGGCTGCGATAAAGGGGAGCCCTGTGTCGGAGGCGAAACGATCGAATTAAGGGGTTGAAAAACACGATTCACAACAGCTCTCCCCCTTAGCGAGGGGATTTGGCGAACCTTGTCATCCGCTGAGGTTTTTGGAAGGTAGGCCGTAGGGTTCGTGAGATTGTGATATCTCGTCGAAGAACCTGAAAGGGAGATAAAAAAAATTGGATCAAGAAGTACCGCATGCCACGTGCGATTGACAGCATCCTATCTGTCCTGCGGTTGTCTTCCTTTCAAGCTGAATATCGATCGAGCCAATGGACGCGTCTGCCGGCGCGTGTTATGGTTACAGCCTTTTTACTGTCGTGAGAGACGAATTTGGTTGCAACTGAGGCTTATTGTTTGGCGAGGTCCCCGTGTCGAGGAAGGCTGACTTGAGTCGGTCGACAGACACGACGTCTTCTTTCCCACTGTGGTCGAAGATGAAAACCTTTTATTTTCGTCTAAGCACTCTGAAAAGTCCGTCGTAGATGGGCTGAAGTCGTTGACGAACTGTATCGTGTCTGATGAAAACGTGTGTGCATGTAGGCAATTCTTGCGGGGTGAACGAAATAGTGGACTGTAGGCGCGGCTGTGTTACTTTTAGCTTGTTCATAGCCTCCCGTAATCGCTCGACGTAGTTGAATGGGTCCGGCCATGTTGGTTGTGAAGTCGCGGTAAAAACTGCCCGGGTGGTCTCAATGTTGTTCCGAAAACCATTTCAGCAGAGGGACACTTTTAAATCTACCTTGACGGCTGATCAAATTCCGAGTAAAACGAGGGATAACGCGTCCGTCCAACAAGATGGGTCACTGTGTGCTGTTAAAGCTGCCTTCATTTGTCGATGAAAACGCTCTACCATGACGTTTGATTGTGGGTGGTAGGCCGTCGTTCGAATGCGGTTCGTCCCCAAAAGTCACGTGAGGTTTTGAAACAGACTTGATTCAAACTGAGTTCCTCGATCTGTGGTGATAGTAGAGGAAACTCCGATTAATGCAATCCATCTGTCCACGAACGTTTTTGCGGCGGTTTTGGCATCTTGCCATTGGGTGAAGCGGTCGACACATGTCAAAGGATAGCGGAAACCTTTCGAATGCGTTATGGGTCCAACAATGTCAACGTGCACGTGATTGAACCTAGCGTCGGGGACTTTAAAGCGTCCAAGAGGAGTCTTGCTGTGTTTGTTCACCTTGGATACTTGACAGCTTACGCAATTTATAGCCCACTGCGTAACATTGCGATTTATAGCAGGCCAAACATAACGACTTGAGATCAGCTTCTGTGTTGCCCGTTGGCCAGGATGAGAGAGGCCATGAAGGGCTTGGAACTTTGGCGTTGCATTGTCTTAGGTACGAAAGGACGGTGCACACCTGTTGAAATGTCGCAGACGATTGTATATGTGGAGGAAGGAAGGGGAGCTTGAACCAGCTTTAAGGCTGCATTTTTTGATCGGAACCCTTACAATTCTTCATCAGATTGCTGGGCGACTGAAATATCCTCAAAATTCACATACGTACTTGTATTTGCACCATCAATGTGCGAACGAGATGGTGCGTCGGCTACCGTATTGTCCTCACCCTTAAAGTGTTGAATGTCAACTAAAAATGTAATCCAAGTGTCTTGATTCTCTTGGTGATAACCGATCCGAGCCCTAACGGTTAGCGAAAGTCAGCGGTTTGTGATCGGTGTAGATCGTGAATTGCCGACCCTCAAGAAGATATGTGAAATGCTTGACTGTGAGGTGGATAGCCAGAAGCTCACGACCGAAAGTGCTGTAACGCTTTTGAGCTTCATTGAACTTAGCTGAAAAATAAGCCAATAGCTAAGCTGACCCGTTGACAGCTTGCTGTAAGACCGCACCAGCTGCCGACAAGGACGCGTCGATTAGGAGAGCCAGAGGGGCATCTGATCGCTGGTAAACTAGTGTGGTTGTTTTTGCTAAGGCTTCCTTGGTAACCTTGAAGGCTTGACGTATCTCGTCCATCATGATTAGTTTCTTCGAACTTTCTTTGAGTAAGTTTTTCAGAGGGAGCAGGATATGAGCCGCGTTGGAAAAGAAATCGACGGTAAAAATTAAACATGCCCAAGAAACGTCGTAGTTGATTGATGGACTTTGGTTCCGGGAACTCACAAATCTCCTTCACCTTACTGTCGATAGGACTTAGGCCTGAAGGAGAGACTGTGTCTCAGGAATTCAAGTTCAGGAACTCTGAACACATAATTTGATGCGTTGATAACTAAGCCGTATTCATTGAGGCGTTGGAATACATTGTCGAGGTGTTGCATATGCTCCTCTTGATTCTCACTTGCAATGAGGACATCATCGATATCCGGAAACACAAAATCCGGACCAGCTAACACATGATGGATGAAACGCTAAAACGTTTAAGCTGCGTTTCTTAGGCCGAAAGGTATTCCCACAAATTCGAATAATCTGAATGACGTTACAATGGCTGTCTTGGGAATATCAGAGGGTTCTACCGGAATCTGATAGTATAGGATATCGATCAGGAGTCGTGGTGGCGTTTAAAGCACATTAATCACCACATGGGCGCCACTCACCTTCAACTTTCTTGAGAACCATGTATAGTGCTGACGACCAGTCGCTATCTGAAAGTCGGAAAACCCCAAACTGCAACATGTGCTCGAATTCACGTTTCGCCGTCGAGTATCTAGTGGGAGAAAGACGACGAATTTGGGCGTTGACTGGGCGACCATTTGTTACGATTTTGTGCGTGACCAAGTGTCGAATTTTGGTCTGCCTGTGAGTTGGGTTGATCAAGTCTGGTTATTTTCGAAGAAAAGCTGAATAGGGTCCATCGCTCTTTTGTAATGTTGTGATCTGAGAAACGGCTGACGTTGCTCGCAAGGGACACCTGACGTTTAGGCTCGTTAGAGGGTCGATTAGCCGTTTGTTCTTGAGGTCGACGAGTAAACCAAAGTGTCCAAGGAAATCCGTGCCTGTGATAGGGTGGTGACGGTTGGGACAGTGAAAACGCAACGAATTTACCGTCTAAGTCTTAAGTCAAGTGTAAGAGATTTCTGTCCGTAAGTAGAAATGGAGGAGCCATTGGCCGCTGAGAAAACCATGAAAGGGTTAGGAGTTTGATTTTCAAAGGGATTCGGAGGTATCACAGATATGTGTGCTCCTGAGTCAATCAAGAATCGCATACTCGTTGACGAATCAAGCAAAAACAGGCGGCGGTTTGGGTGCCCATCGGCAGTGGACGCCACTACTTCCGGGCATTTTCGTTTCCCGACTGACTGTTCTGGTTTGTAACGGTATGTCTGCACGGAGACCTGCATTTAAAAGCTGCTCTCCCGAAGGTTTCATGGTACCAACAAAGTTGTCGAGACGGTAATCGAGAAGAGTACCTGCGAAACGACCGTGAACGATTCCGCCTAAAAGGGGGGTTATGGCCTCTGTTTCGGGAAGGTCTGATTGACACGGCATCAATTGCCGCTTCGATCTTGACTATAGCGTCCTTCAATTTGGCGAGTTCCTCGGATGTTTTGTCTGGTGTAGAAACGTTCAGCTCTCTTCGGGGTTCAGCATTAATTTCAGATACACCTGTGTCGCCTTAGTCGTCTCCACTATCAGGTCTGCTGTATCTGCCAACAGTGACAGCGTTTGGTATTCGTTGGACAAAAAACGCTTTCC